GCACTTGGGCCATCCTCCGCTGCCTTCCCAGACATGTTAGCAGGAAGATGGATTGGAAGTGGAGCAGCTGGGACTTGAAGTGGCACCCATATGGGATGCCCGCACTGCAAGCCCTGGTTCAATCCACTAGGCCACAGCTCCGGCCCCAGTGGCTCTCTCCTTAAGGGCGGAGCTGGGGTATACAGGGCCTGGGTATGTAAACCTCCTGGGAGGTTTATTCAGGGGGAAGAATACAAGATCACAGATTCCAAACTGGAAGCAAAAGTGAATATTTATTGAGAAGAGGCCTGTGTAAGTGCAAAGCTGACTTCACAGTATGTTTATCTCTCTCCTACAACAAAACCCACCCCACCCCAAAAGTTTCCCTGTTTGCTGTTGCAAAAATACTTGCATCTCTCTCTCTCATCACTCTGTGACTTTTCAAGGAAGTAGCCTACATATTCAGTGGGATGACTCCCACGTCACTGCTGTCACCTGTACCCCCATTCTACTGCAGTTTTCTCTAAAACAACACTGACCTCCTAATCCCTGAAGTTCACGGCCTTTTATTTTGCTTCTGAAATTTCTTGTCCTTTCCATAAACAACTGGACGCATGGGTCATCCTCTTAGTTCTTCAAATGATTCCTTCCCACTCAATGGAGGGTCTTCCTCGGGTCGCTTCCATGACTCAGGCTGTCCTCCCTCCCCTGTGACTCAATGATCACACCTCTGCTGTGGCTTTCACTGCCACCCCCCACGACTGACTCACAACCGTATGTCCCTTGCCACCTGAAGTGCTATCGACGTGCCAAATCTGACATCTTTTCCCCATCGCTCCCAAGCCATCACTCCCTCCTAGCCACTCTAGAAATGTCACAGTGCTACTTTCAATAAAACAAAACTTCTTGCTTTCCTTTCATCCCCTCATCATCTCTCTGACTTAGCAATTCTCCCTTAGAAATGCCCCCCAGAATCAGTGTGGCCCTTTCTATTCCCACCACCACATCCCCGACATCAGTTTTTCTCACTATTGATTTGGATTGACCCAAAGGATCTTCGTGTTTGGAGCTGGAGAGCCGGAGTTGGGTGAAACTTGCCCTATTGAATTAATGGCAGGCCAGGACCGGAATCTGGTTTTTCTGGCTACTCCACCCTTTTAGACCACTGTATCTCATTTTATACACTAATACCAGAATGATTTTCTTAAAAATGATGATTTTCTGATTATATTAAGTGTTAAATTGATCATATAGATAGGATTAAGTGTTAAAGGGATCATATAAATAAGACCAAGTGTCTGGTAATAACAATACATAGAATTAAAAATGAGAGAATGTTTCAACATGGGAAGCAGCCCACACAGCAGACTCACAGAGTAACAATCGCTATAAATAGCACTTTGACCTCAGAATCAGCCTTTAAGGCATTCTTGTCTGGATGAAAAGCTCATGACAGCATGGAAAGCCAAGCCACTGTTGGAAAAAAAATGTTCTACATGAAGGATCTTGGTGAGTGAGAACCCAGTGGAAAGAGGAACCATCAAAGAAGGATGTACTCTTCTCTGAAGAGAGGAGAGAACTTCCACTTTGCTTATGGCCCTGTCTAAATACTGATGGAGATTGTGGACCCAAAAGCCTTCCATAGCCTTTCCAGCTCATGTCAAGAGCCTTGGGTGATCACTGTTGTCATATATTAGAGTGCTAATTGTTGGGGCCAGTGCTGTGGCACAGTGGGTTAAAGCCCTGGCCTGCAGTGCTGGCATTCCATATGGGTGCTGGTTCTAGTCCTGGCTGCTCCTCTTCCAATCCAGCTCTCTGCTATGGCCTGGGGAAGCAGCAGAAGATGGCCCAAGTGCTTGGGCCCCTGCACCAATGTGGGATACCCAGAAGAAGCTCCTGGTTCCTGACTTTAGATCTGCTCAGCTCTGGCCATTGTGGCCATTTGGGGAGTGTGCCAGCGGATGGAAGACCTCTCTCTCTCTCTCTTTCCCTCTACCTCTCTCTGTAATTCTTTCAAATAAAAAAAAGTGCTAAATGTTAAATTAACAATAGGAGTCACTGTGCAGTTACTTCCCATGCAGGACCTCTGTTCTCAATGAGTGTGAACTATGAGAACTGTAAAACTTGTTCTCAAAGCTTTCATATTTTGTGTGTATGTGTGCAAACTGTTGAAACCTTACTTAGTATAGAGTTGGTCTTCTAATTGAAAATGAATCTTAATGGAGAATGGGACTGGGCATGGGAGGCGGAGGAGGAGGTGGGGTGACAGTGGTGGTGGGAGGGTAGGTATGGTGGGAAGAATCTCTATATTACTAAAGTTGTACTCGTTAAATAAAAGGTTTCTTTAAAAAACGAGTGATGACTTTCACAGGATGAAGCTGTTTTTCCTGGCATTGTGTTTCAGGGTTCTGAAATCCGGTCGCAAACATCTTAGCTTGCTCCATCAGCCCCGAGCTATCCTTATAACCATCTGGGCTCTTGGACACCCTCGTGAACACGGCCACATTTCACAGAAGCAATTTCTCAATTTCTGGAATTCACTCTTTCTCCCCTGCGCTGTAATGGTTCAGTGGTTTGGCTCTCTTATCACACATGACCTGATGTTGTCTTGGCGTGCCTGGCGTAGGCATGTTGGTGATTCCCCAGCCTCTGCTCCCTCCCAGATGACTGGAAATCCGATAACTGATTGCATCTATTGGCTGGTGATTGGCTTAGGGGTGGGCATGTGACACATTTCTGGCTAGTGACACACAGAGGAAGTCTGCTGGGAGGATTCTTGGGAGGCTTCCCATGTCTTGGAAGGACATGTCCCCTTCTGCCTCTGGATATTGTTATGTCTGGGTATGACCGGCAAAAACAGACGGACATTTTGCTCTCGGCTGACAAGAGAGGGAAAGCATCTGGGCCCCTCGTAACAATAGTAAGTCTTAAATCAACCAGTCCTGGAGCCTGCCCTGCCCCACGCTTCCTGTTAGCTGAAGTCACACGTTTCCTTATTGCCCAAACCACTTCATTCAGTTTTCTGTTATTTGAAGCCTAAAGCACCAGGAAACGCTCCCATCTGCTGCTTCATTCCCCAAATGCCGACAATAGCTGGGACTGGACCAGGATGAAGCCAGGAGCCTGAAACTCAGTCCAGGTCTCCCATGTGGGTGACAGGGATCCAACTGCTTGAACCATCAGTGGCTGTATCCCAGGGTCTGCATATTAACAGGAAGCTGGTTTCTGAAATCTGGAGCAGAGGCAGCAGTAACCCAGCGACTCCAACATGGGATGTGAATGTCCCAACAGGTGCCTTAACTACTTGGCCAAATGCCAGCCCTGGCATTTTTGGACACTGAATGTTAAGCTTTTTTAATTCAGGAACTACGTCTATTTATCTTTATAGCTCTCTCAGGGGTTGGCACACAACACTTGTGAGATTAGTGTTTGTATTATTTCTGAGATTTAACTTGTAAAAGCAATTGCAAAGAGTTAGAAAGCTCTTTTGGATCTCACAGCAATTTGGCGATAACAAAAAAGTTTAGATAAAGAACTTTTTAAAGCATTTTATTTCTCAAAGTCATACCAAGTTCTAAAGGAGCCACTTCCCTCTGTCTCAAATCCTTGTCTGTGGCTGCTGTGTCTGGTAGGGTCCCAGGAGCCCGGGGGGACTGGAGGAAAAATGAAGTGGCAGCAATGCCAATGTGGAAGCCAGTTCTTTCTCGCTCAGAACCCAGGACTTGAATCTCCTCCTTTTCCCTGTCCCAGTGACCCTTAGTGCTTCCAGCCAGAGCCGTAGGTACACAATGTTACATGCAGAGGCGGTTTCCTGGGAAGGTGGGTCACAGGTTTTATCAGCTTCTCAAAGAGACCTGCGACCCTCCGATGGCTAGGAAGCGCTACAACAGGTTATAATGCCTCCGAAATAAAAGGTAAAATAGTCCTCGGTCAGGGGACTTCATTTCTTGTAGACCATAAACAGGAGGCGTGCCGGGCCTCTGGTTGAAACAATTACGAATTTCAAGATGGTGACAGCAGCAAGTTAACCAGGCAGGGAGCCCCGTGTGACTACACAGGTGTTACCCTAACAGCCTGCCCAACTTCATTTCGGGGCTACCTTGCGTGTGCCAGGGACTGGGTTCGACGCTGAGGATTCCAGATTAAGGGTGGGCTTCCCAAACTACCTAACGGGTCCTGGGGAGACAACTCTTAATAAGAAGACAGTCCCACTGGGCGGAGAGCGAACTAAGAGGAAGAAGGTATCAAGATAACGACAGGTGCCGAGCAGAAGAGCTAGCATAGGGCGTGACACAGGGGGGCTGAGAGGCCACTTCACAGGTCAGGTGGTCAGGGGGGCGCTCCCTGACATCCAAGACCTTTCATGAAAACAGGGGCCTACGTGGGAAGCCGCGAGGGCTAGCTCAAGTCCGGCAAAGAGGCCAAAGGCGGGAAGAGGGAGAGACGGTACTCAGGTGGGGCAGGGAGCCCAGGAGTGGCCGGCAGGGGCCAAGCCGTCCAGGCTGCACGGATGTCCGGATCGCAAAGGAGGGTCCCCGCCTGGAGAGGCGGCGGCCGGACTCTGGGGCGTGGGCCGCGGGGGTGCCCCGGCCCGCTGTCAGGTGCGCCGGCGGCCGCCCCCAGAGGCCGGCGCGCGTCCGCGGCGGCGCCGACGTGGCCGGCGGGAGCGGCCGCGCACGTGTCTGGCCCCAGGCCTGGGGGCGGGGGCGCGCGCGGGGGGTCTCCGGCCTCTCCTCGGGTTCGGGGCCCGGGAGCCGGCTGGCCCCCAGCCTCCCGTCCGCCGGCGCGAGGAGCCGAGCAGATGGGACGGGCCGGGGTGGGGGCTGGGTCGTGGCGAGGAGGGGGCGGGCGGGCGGGCGCGCGCACCTGCCCCGGGGACAAAAAGGGCGGGGGGGGGGGACGAAGGGGGGGGGGGGGGGCCCCTTTTTTCCAGGGGGGGGGGGGGGGGCGTCGCCCCTTGCCCTTTTAAAAGCCGCGGGGGGCGCCCCCCTCCTGCCGGGTGGGGGGGTCGGTTTAAAAAAGGGAGCGGCCGCCCGCCGAGGCCTCGGCGCCCCCCTCGCCATTTTCCTGCCGCGCTCGGACGCGGGTGTCGCGGCGGCGGGGAGAGGCGGAGCCGCGAGAGCACGGCCCGGGCCGGCCCCGCGGGGCGGTCGCGGCCGTGACGGCGGCTCGGGGCCCGGCTCCCCTTCCGCAACCCCTCCCGCCGGAGATGAGGGGAAGATGTCCGTGTCAGGGCTGAAGGCCGAGCTGAAGTTCCTGGCGTCCATCTTCGACAAGAACCACGAGCGGTTCCGCATCGTCAGCTGGAAGCTGGACGAGCTGCACTGCCAGTTCCTGGTGCCGCCGCCGGCGCCGCCGCTGCTCACGCTGCACTGCAACATCACGGTGAGGCGGCCGCGCGGGGCCGGCGAGGGCGAGGGCGGCCACGGGCGCCCCAGACCTCGCACAAAGGCCGCCGGCTCCCGGGCGCGGGGCGCGGGGCGCGGCCGGGCGCGCGGCGCTGCCCTGAGGCTCTTGGCCCCTCGCGGCCCCCGTCGCCGCGCCCGCCCGAGTCCTCGCCGGGCGCCATGGCCGCCTGCCTGCCTGCTTGCCTGCCTGCCGTTGGCGTCGGCTCGGCTCCGGCCGCGCGTTTGAGCCCAGACGGGGAAAAGGGGAAAGAAAGAAAAAAAAAAAAGGCCTTGAAGTTTTTAACCGGAGCATTCCGGGCCCGGATTTCCGGCTGTGTGTAAGTTTGTGCGTGGAGGACGGGGTCGCGAGAGGGGCTCGGAGCGGCGGCAGGTGGTGGGCCGGCCGGGCCTGGCCGCTGCGCCGCCGAGGCGCTGACCGGAAGGACCCCCGACGCCGTAGGAGCCGGTAAATCTCCTCCCCGGGGGTGCGGCGGCCGAGCCGGGGGGGACCCGGGCTGGACGCCCCGGGGTGGTGTCGGGTCCCCTCTCGGCGCTGCCCGTGGGGAAGTGGCCGGGAGTGGGCGGGCGGCCTCGCAGGTGGGGTGATGGGGCTGGCGGTGGTCGGGCGGCGGTTCTAGAAGAGAAATAAACAGGTACACCTGGGCGGGGGGCGGCTCTGGTTCGCGGCGCCTCGGGCCGCGCTGGGAGCTGGGCTTCCAGCACCGGGCAGGGCAGCCCCCAGCCTTGTGGGGAGAAGAGGGGCAGCCACGGTGCGTGGGTGGAGGTGTGTGGGGGTGTCCGGGGAAGCCCCGGGGCCGCTCAGGTGCGCCTGGGCGAGGAGCGCTCCGGCTGGCCGTGGTGGCTTTGGGCGCGTCCCGGAGCTGCACACCCCACCCCACCCCCCAATAAAAGGACTCCAGAGCTCGGGCAAGTGTGGGTCGCTTGGGAGTGGACAGTGTGTGCCCCCCGGTGTAGGCCGTGCAAGGCCAAGTTGTCTAAACAGGGGAAGCCGGAAGTAGTCGTGCGGGTGAAGTGGGTGCTAACCCGGGGAGACTGCTCTGGCCAGGCAGGGCTGGTTCCACGGCCAGGACGGCCGCCGAGTGACTCAGGCCAGCTGGACAAGCGGTGGCTGGCACTAGGAGGGCTGTGTGTGTGTGGGGGGGTGGGGTGGGGTGGGGCGGTGCCGCTGTGCCGGTCCGCAGCGCCAGGGGTACCGGGATGGGGCGGTGTGCCACAACAGAGCCCTCCCACCTCGGCTGAGAACCGGGTGGGGGGCTGATGGTCCTGAAAGTCCGCCACAGGCCAAGGCAGTGAGCGATGACCCGGATTCAGTAGCGGCAAGGAGTGCAGTAGACACTCAGTGGAAGATGCGCTGGGGGGGACCGGGGTGGTGGTCCGGCTAGCTGGGGACTGTTAGCATTGAGGTGCAGGTGAGTTGGGAGGGGGTTGTCATGGTGCGTGCCCAGTGTGTGCTGACCCTTCATCATGGGAGAGCGTCAGGCACAGGGAACTGAAAGTGAAGAGAAACTCGAGGGGCCGGCTCCAACAAGGGTGCATTTCTGGCCAATCTTAATGTCGTCTGTACCCCACTTCGGATTCCTCTGGAGCAGATTCCAGACATACCACTTCCTGTTCAAGTAATTTCAGTATTTATTTCTAAAAAAAAAAAGACTCTTTGAAGATGAGTGACTATTTTGATAAAATCTGTGTGGTTTGTTCATGTTAAACTATTTGCTTAGAATGGAAAGAGCAAGGAAAAAATGCAGCTGGATTTCACATACCAGGATCTGTCCGTGGGGTTTGTGATTTGTTATTTTCTAAAAAAATTATTATTAAAGCATTTGATGTGTTTAACTTTTGCTCCTCAGGCGGCCTAGCTGTTGATTAAGCTCATCTGCCTGTCAGGCCTTGTCTTCTCCACACTTACCAAGAAGTGTTCCTGTGCAGTTTTCGTGATGTTTGAGCAGATACGATCACACCAGTAGCTTTCTTTTTCCCAGAAGACTTATTTGTTCATTTACTTGTTTATTTGAAAGGCAGAGTGTGAGAAAGGGACAGAGGAGGAGGGAGGGGGGAGAGAGGAGGCGGTGGGGAAGAGAGCTTCCTTCCATCCATTGGTTCCCTCCCCAAATGGCCACAACAGCCGAGTCTGGGCCAGACCAAAGCCGGGAGCCAGGTGCTTCATCCAGGCCTTTGCCAGGCACATTAGCAGGAAAGAGGGTTGGGAGCCGAGCAGTGCAGACTGGACTGGCGCCCTGATGTGGGACGTGGGCATCCCGGGTGGCAGCTTGGTCCGCTGTGCCGCAGTGCCTGCCCCAGTGGGGTCTTCATGCACACGCGTGCCTGTGTGCGCCTTTTTCTTTCAGGCTTCTGTCTGATCTGGTTTTCCCTTTGAAACATGCCCGTGACAGCTGCCCCTTACTGTACCTGGGTCTGTCTGCCAGGTCTGATTGTCCCTCAGGGCTCTTCTGGGTCATACTCCGTTCAAGCTGATACTTCCCCTCCCTCCCTTTAGGCCTTACGGTTTCTGCTGTGATTATGTTTTCTTATATTCTGGTACAGTAGTATTTGGCAGTTGTCTTTTTTAAGGTGCTTTTTATGGTAGCAAGGGAGAATACTCATAATTATTATGATTTATGCTTTTTGTTTTCCCACTCAGTAAATATTCGTTTGACTATATAGTATAGTCGCCATCTTGCTATATTGTTTGGATAGAAGACTACCATGTGAGTGCAAGAGATCATATTAGAAAAATGTCATGGATATCGCATAAATATTCAAAAGGTGACTGAGGGCTCGATAGGAAAACTGGGACTTCATATGAAAGGCAGTCAGGAGGCCGGCGCCGCGGCTCACTAGGCTAATCCTCCACCTTGCGGCGCCGGCACACCGGGTTCTAGTCCCGGTCGGGGCGCCGGATTCTGTCCCGGTTGCCCCTCTCCCAGGCCAGCTCTCTGCTCTGGCCAGGGAGTGCAGTGGAGGATGGCCCAAGTGCTTGGGCCCTGCACCCCATGGGAGACCAGAATAAGTACCTGGCTCCTGCCATCGGATCAGCGCGGTGCGCCAGCTGCAGGGCGCGCGGCCGCGGCGGCCATTGGAGGGTGAACCAATGACAAAGGAAGACCTTTCTGTCTCTCTCTCACTGTCCACTCTGCCTGTCAAAAAAAAAAGAAAGAAAAAGAAAGAAAGAAAGAAAGGCAGTCAGGAGTCAAAGCAAAATACCGTAGATTGGTATTCCCTAAGCCAAGAGAGTTGAGCTGATTTTTCCTGTTCATAAATTTGTTTTGATCTTAAATATGAAAGGAAAGAGTGCGCTTTTCCAACCTCAAGGAGTCTCTTTTTATTATTTTCCGTGAACTCATGCTGTAAGAGATCATCTGTGACACAAACTTAAGTATTGTTTTTTCGTTTTCGGACACAAACGGACCTCTTTGCAGTCCTCGCTAGCATGCAGTTGTGATCACACCTAAAATCGGAGGAGCTTGTGCTAATAACTGTGCAGCCTGTGGGAGCTAGAATATGGCCTTTTTTAAAAGACCTTCTGAAATATTTGACATAATTTGGCAACTCCATTTCTCTTTTTATGGATGGAATAGAAAGTTTTCCCAGGAAGTAAATTAGCTAGTAAACAGATGACACTTCGTTCTTTACATTATTTGTATGGCATAAATCGTTACTCTTTTTGCATAAGTGACTGTGTAACATACTACTTTTGGTGGAACTTTTTTTTTTTTTTTTGACAGTTAGAGAGAGAGAGAGAGAAAGGTCTTCCTTCTGTTGGTTCACCCCCTAAATGGCCGCTACTGCTGGCACTGCGCCGATCTGAAGCCAGGAGCCAGGAGCTTCTTCCTGGTCTCCCATGCAGGTGCAGGGCCCAGTCACTTGGGCCATCCTCCACTACACTCCCGGGCCACAGCAGAGAGCTGGACTGGAACAGGAGCAGCCGGGACTGGAACCCTGCGCCCATATGGGATGTCAGTGTCACAGGGGGAGATTAACCTATTGCGCCACAGAGACTAACCTATTGCGCCACGACGCCGGCCCCTTGTGGAATTTTTTGTTGTTGAGCTAATTAAATTTCTATTCATCAACGCCAAGAAACCCCTTCTCCCAACGTCAGGCTACTAAATTAGAAAATGTTAGAGCCCTGAGTCTAGAAGGGAGAGGTTCAGTCTTTATTTAGTAGTTAGGAATGTTAAGCAGATGATTATTTGTGACTGTGTTTCTCTATAAATAATACATTTGCCCTGCAAGGGAGCGTGTATAGGAACGATTTTAGGGAGTGATGCTGCTCTCTCCACAGATGCAAAGGCGATGGTGTCATTTGTGACTGAGTAACACTTCGCTTTAAAAATGCTTTACCACAGCCTTTCGTGTGAATTAAGGCAGTGCTGTTAGCATCTTCATTTTTGTTTTTCTTCTTCATACTGATAAAAAGTAGTCCAGCCAGAGTTACACAGGAGAAGTAATGACCACATCCTGACTAAGGGGCCTGAGGCCTTTTCTTTGATTTACCCTCCTGGGGCTGAGTCCTTGCCAATCTGAACTTGCAAAGACGCTCTTGGAAATGTTAGAACTGTCAAGTCGAGCTTCTGAGTGGCATTCTCAGCCTGGGGGAGTCATTGTTCTCATTATCGGACTGGCTTATGTTATCGGGTTAAATTCCTGGGGGCGCTCTCTTCTTCCCCATCCTTATTTTATGTACTTCCTTGAAAAACAGGTATATGAAGAGGAGACTTAGGTTTCTTATGGATGGCATGTGTCCCTTAGTAACTTGATTTTATTCCCTCCTTGGTTAATCTGCTTAGATTTGGAAAAAGGCAATGTTAGATAAAGGCCAGCTGGCTAAGGGGTGGGGCGTTGAATTGAAATAGCACCTGCCGGCGCTGCGGGCTCAATAGGCTAATCCTCCGCCTAGTGGTGCCGGCACACCGGGTTCTAGTCCTGGTTGGGGCACTGGATTCTGTCCCGGTTGCTCCTCTTCCAGGCCAGCTCTCT